TTCTCGTCTTCTTAGCGATGATTGTGCGGGTGTTCATAATGATGATTCCATATTGACTAATTCCTCTCCGGTTCCCTATGAGCTTCCTGCTACAGGATTAAACAGTGCAGAAAATGGAATGGAGAATGGTGCAATTTTTTCTGAAAATCTTGTGTAGAATGACCCTGATTTGGATGCAGCAAATCCAGCTGAATCTCCCTCCGGATCGGTGCAGCAGACTGCTGCCGAATCCGCCTCGGGATCGCTGCACCAGACTGGGTCTGGATCTGCTTCGGGGTCGGCCGCCCGTACCGTGGCGGACGCGTGTGCAATCTGCCAGCCCCCCCAGAGGACAACCCGACCAGCCGGGACCCACCATCCGGGCGCTATGCGCCATCTCCGCGCGTTTACGCCAGGCGACAGCCTGCCTCTGCGTCAGGCGGGACCAGCGCTCCACCCGAGCGTGCGCCACTGGATCCCCCTGGATCTTCTGTGGCGCGATCTACTTCAACGCCTTCTGGTTCTGCCACAGATGATCCGACAGCGACAGCGACCGTGACAGCCGCCTCGGGATCGCCTCTGTCAGCTGTCTAGGCGGATTCTGCTGCTCCTGGATCTTCTGTGCCGCTACAACCACCTCGTACACGACTTCGATCAGGCACCATTACTTATGTTAATTATAAAACTAAATATGGCTTGGTTGTATCTGATACGTCTACAGGAGAACCTCGCACTGTTCATGAAGCGCTTGCTGATCCAAAATGGAAACATGCCATGGATGAAGAGTTTTGTGCCCTTCAGAAAAATCATACATGGCACCTTGTTCCTTCTTCTCCGGGTACCAACCTTATTGATTGCAAGTGGGTTTTCGCATCAAACGGAAGTCAGATGGTACCATTGACCGTTATAAAGCACGTCTTGTTGCTAAAGGATTCAAACAGAGGTATGGGCTTGATTATGAGGATACTTTCAGTCCCGTTGTTAAAGCAGCAACTATTCGTCTGGTTCTTTCTATTGTTGTCTCTCGTGGCTGGTGCCTTCGTCAATTAGATGTGCAGAACGCGTTTCTTCATGGTGTTCTGGAAGAGGAAGTATATATGAAACAACCTCCTGGGTTTGAAGATCCAAACAGGCCATTCCATGTCTGGAGACTAGATAAATCACTTTATGGACTGAAACAGGCTCCACGAGCATGGTACTCTCGCTTGAGCTCCAAATTGCAAAGTCTTGGTTTTGTTCCTTCCAAGTCTGATACTTCTCTGTTTATCTATCGTTGTTCTAACACAACTATTTTTGTGCTTATCTATGTTGATGATATTATTGTCACAAGTTCCTCCAATAAGGCAGTTACATCTCTCTTGCAAGATTTACAGGCAGATTTTGCTCTAAAAGATCTTGGCGACTTACATTTCTTTCCTTGGTATTGAAGTCAAGCGAAACCAGGAAGGTGGTCCTCATATCTCTCAAGAGAAATATGCCACCGATCTTTTGAGCAAGGCAGGATTGCAGGGCTGTAAACCATCACCAACTCCTCTCTCCAGCTCAGAAAAGTTGTCTCTCACAGAGGGTGTGCCTTTGAATCAAGAGGATGGTACTAAATACAGGAGTCTGGTAGGAGCACTTCAGTACTTGACACTTATGAGGCCTGATATTTCATTTGCTGTCAATAAGGTGTGTCAGTATCTTCATGCACCTACCTCTGCTCATTGGACGGCTGCTAAACGTATACTGACATATGTGAAGAATACACTAAGCATTGGACTAGCGTTTACCAAATCAACCTCTACACTTGTTAGTGCCTTTTCTGATTCTAACTGGGCAGGTTGCTTAGATGACAGAAGGTCTATAGGTGGTTTTGTAGTATTCTTTGGACCCAACTTAATCTCTTGGTGTGCAAAGAAACAAGCCACCGTGTCAAGATCAAGTACTGAGGCAGAATACAAAGCACTAGCTAATGCTACTGCAGAAATTATATGGGTCAAGTCTTTGCTCAGAGAACTTGGAATATTTCATACACAAACTCCATGTCTTTGGTGTGACAATATTGGAGGTACTTATCTCTCTGCCAACCCTGTTTTTCATGCTAGAACGAAAATATCGAGATTGATTATCATTTTGTTAGAGAGAGAGTTGCTAGCAAAGAATTGCAGATTCGGTTTATACCTTCAAAGGATCAAGTGGCTGATGGATTTACTAAAGCACTGTCAACAGGATTGTTTGAAGAATTCAAGCGTAATCTGAACTTGAGAAGTTCAGATTAAGGGAGGATGTTAAACACATTGTTATGAGGCTGTTGGTCCGAGTATCTCTTATATCTCGATGGAGTAGTTAGGTGTTGTATCTCCTTCTATCTCTTGTTTAAGATCTCCTGTAATATCTCTTGTTGGTTAGATAAGACTCTGCCAACTCTTGTAACACAAGTCATCAATCAATATATAACCTATGCGGCTCCCCTGTTGGGAGTAGGAACGCTTACCCAAAGTTTCACATAAGATACATATTGTTTTGCAGAATGCTGCCTTAGTATGATATCAAGAACTCGAATAGCCTCCAGGGTGTTCTCTGATTCTTCACCTCTAATGGCCTGCGCGATTGCGGCCATAGGGATTTTCGCCGCAAAGCTCAGCTCCACTTTTATAATCTTTGACTGGTAAGGCCTCCTCACTCTCTTCGTGTCACTACCTTCAGGACTATTGCCACTATTACCTCCAGAGCTCCTACAACCAACTAATAATTGGGTTATACTGAACACAGAGGATGGTATGTAGTACTACATAGGGGCAGATAGCCTGCAAGCAGGTCAAGGAGTAGAACTCACTTTCCACTTCCAATGTCTTCCAATACTACAGTGAATTCATTGTGTACTTGGGGAAGAGCCCCAATTGTAAAGAGGCTCTTCTCACCATCATATGCAAAGTCCTTGTTCGCAAGATCGGAATGGTACATTTGCAGCAGTTTATCCTGCACCTTTCTCCCTATCCCCTTTTCAACAACAGGTTGATCATCCTCATACTTCAGATTAACCTACACATCGACAGTGCCAGATAGCATGGGGATATGGAAATTAACGTTACTTTTGAAATTACTAGGTGGTGAATTAGCATGGGGAAAGCAAGTAAAGCGTGCTCACATGGTAGTGGTAGAAAAATTCCTCTGAACCCTTGAGGGAGACTTTATAGTGGTTAGCAAGTAGCTGGATGGTGTGCCCTCTCTTCCCTAGCCCAGGCCTAGCCATTGGGAGCCTTTTGGGCTTTGATGGCTTGTTTGGAGGCGGTTCCTCGGCGACATCTTCTTCTGCTTTGATGGGCACCACATCCGGAGGCAGAGGAGGTGGTGGTGGTAACTCATCTGGGCCTCTATCACTCGGGTCCATCTTGGCAGGACAGGCGGAGCTCTCTGCATGTGCGAAAGGTCAGATGATTACACTACTGGAATCTGGCACTTTGCCATCTGCCATGGCAGATGGCAAAGGCATGGTCGGCGTATGGCAAAGGCTTTGCCATCTGCCAGCAGATGGCAAACAGTTTGTCTGAAACCCTGCCGGCAAAGGCTTCTTTGCCGTCTGCTGGTTGATGGCAAAGAGCATGTGGCTTTGCCATCAGCTGGCAGATGGCAAAGCCTCTTAACGGGGTTAGCCCCGTTAGAAGGCTAACGGCATACTTTGTCGTCTGCCAGCAGCCAGCAGATGGCAAAGTGACTATATTGCCCCATTTAATTTTGTTTTTTCTTATATCAATTCATTTTCACAGAAAATCAAACACAAATATAGCATATTCAACACATATTACCAATAGTCATGAACACATATATATCCAACACATGTTACCAATAGTAGCAAGTTTCATCCGTACATATACATAGTTTCATCAATATTACACAGTTTCATCCATAGGTAGCAAGTTTCACAAGGTCAAAAAAAAACTAAATACAAGCACTCCATCAACCCAAGCTTCCATGATCTTAAGCAACATCACCTCATTTCCAATAGAAATATGACCAACTCATTTTCAAAGTAAAGATACTCATCCTTGAAAAGTAAAACAAAACTGCAGAAGAGCAAGGTGTCAAAATCAGATGAGAAATTAGATATTGGTAGTGAAACAAACTCACGGAACTACATCACCGAGAAGGCCGCAGGAATGAGTCTCACATTGGGAACAACTATCCACAAGTCATGTACCAAAGATTCCAGGACAATTAAGAGAATCTACTGGTATAAAAATAATGCAAAGAGGAGCCATGAAGAGGTATCTATTAGCAGTGAAAACTGAAACGACAACTACTTTATTGTGAGTTGTACTCTATACATATTTATAGTATTCTTGTTAATACAGACCAAGGAAAGTGTGTATACTCACATTTAAACTATTAAACTAAAATCTGGATTAGGCTAATGTTTTTCCAAAGATAATCCCGTCAACTCAGTTTAACTACACACATCACATTTTGAAGCGGTAGGTGTTATGAAATAATTAATTCCAGTAGGCCTTCATAAACCTCTCCCCACCAAACTTCCTTCTCTGTGTATATTCATAATGAGCAGGTACAACTACTACTTGCTGCACACATTTCCCCCAAAGCACTAACCCAAACATGTACTGCGGTGCACTGAAAGCAGGGGAGACACATGATTCATCAAGCAGCAAGCAGAAAGCAAATCAGCAGGGTAACATACGCAAGCAAGAACATGCAGCAAGAAGCAATCAAGCGGGACAATTAGAGGCTGAGAGCACATCTAAACTTGCTGAGTAATGACACAGACGTCAAACAACCTGGACAGGAAGGGAAACAAGAGCATCGGCACAGAAGAACGGTTTTGGTACTACAAGCCATATTGCTACAAAACTATAGCTGTTTCTATTAACCAATTCAAACATGGACTGGATAAATTCCGCGGACGACAACTGCAAAGTAATAAATATGTCAGCTATGAAAAACCTACCCTACCTGGAGGTCCCTTTGCACCACCGATATGGATTTGAACATTGCACATAGGAGTGAAAACAAACCAGGGAAGATGATTACTTGCAAGATTCTTTCACAATAATTATTGATGATCCTTTTCTACCAATAATACATCCCATTTTTCCACGAGGCACAACCAAGAGCGAAAGGATATCTACCTCAGGAACACAAGCTTCAGCTTCAATGTCATCTGTCAACAATGTTTAATCGATTTTGTTCTATAAGTTGAATATATCAAAACTTCATAAAATGAATTAAAGACTGAAAAGCAAATAGACCCATTGTCATTTCATATTAGTTCTTATATGACGATTCTGCACCTACAAGGCTACAATGCTGAACCATGAAGCAAACCCCAATCATTAGGTTACAAATTTATGATTTATATCTGGAGAACAAAAAGTAAAACAGATTTGGCCATACAGAAACCTTCCTAGATTTGAACGGAAAGGGTGTAAACAAACTGACCAGGGACAGTTGGAAGAGGCAGCCAATCTTCATGTTGGTTGCCATTTATGCAAAAACACCTACAGTATAGCTCACTTTGTACTGCCAGACGCCATGAAGATACTTTGCTCAACTTCTCCATCATTTTCTCTTGTATATTGAGAAGGAAGCGCACATCATCTGATGCTGCTTGAATCATCACTTCAGATAAGGGCCTATTTTCCAGAAATTTGGGTCCTAAAAATCCATCAAATTACAATAAATTGTTAGTTTCAAGAAAATATAGCGGCACAATGGAAATCATGTGCCTGTCCATTATCTGTTCAGGCCTGGGAAAAATAATATTCTAAATAATAGCTCTATAATTTTCTTCACAATTCTAACCTGCCTTAGAAGGGCATGGACTTCTTCCTTTTCAGGATATGGCATTCCTACACAAAGAAGTACAACAGTATCACACCACACAATCAATCAAATGCAAAGCACAAAAGAAATTGAGGTTCAATCCTTCATAGATTTAGTGAACATCTGCATGGTATTTAGAGCAGAAAGACTATTTGGCATGATGTTTTACAGAAGCAACAAACTGCTAGCAAGAGTAATGGAACCACAATACATTACTTCCATATTTACTGGGTTATGTGTTGCTAACAGAAATCCTGCGGTAACTCCAGTTGATGGGAGACAATTTCCAACATGTTTCTACAGTAAAATCCAGGAAAATATTACTGGAGGCAAGAGCCCTTGCTTCACGAAGTGCATCTGCATATGAACTCATGTCAGTCAGGATGACAAGAACATGCTTCCCACACTCATATGCCGAGTATTCCGCTGTGGTGAGACCAATTCTTGGAGTAATAATACGCTCGATGGTAGGATCATTTGCCTATGAACAAAAGTAAGGGGTAAAATCCTTAGAGCAACAAGTGAAGGAAAGAAAAGAGAGGGGAAAAGGTACGCAGATGTACCAGATTAAGAAATAAGGTAACTCTCTCCATTGAACCATTCTCCTCGAAATCACGCTTGAAAAATTGTGCTGTTTCCATGTTTACTCCCATAGCTGCAAAGACAATAGCAAAATTGTCCTCCTCGGCATTCTACAACAATTGTAGCAGATGCGTGAATGTCAAACTAATGATCTACCATGGAGAAAAAACTAGATAGGATGTTCGGAATAAATCAATGTAACTGAGAATTATACGTATTAATAGATACTGTTAATTAAATTATAATTATTATAATTTGCACACTTAAGTTTGCCATGTAAACCAGACCAATGACAGGCACAGTGCTAGAAGCTCCACACCAGGTGGGGGTGTGGGGAAGAATTATACGAGGCAAGCCTTACCCCTGCACAGTGCAATGCAGAGAGGCTGCGTCGAACCCAGGACCTCTTGGCACAAGTGGGGAGTACTTCATCACTGCGCCATGTAAACCAGACCAAGATTGTACACAATACAAGTACCTAGTACCTACTTCTTCGAAGTTAGAACAAAGACCACAGAAAATAACAATGTATTGCAAGTCTATGTTGTAAACTATGATTCGCTGGCCATCCCAAGAGGATACGGATTAACATATAGAGTTGCCTACTGCAAGCATCGCGCATTGATGGCTACAGCACACAGAATGATAAATGAACAATACAGTGTGTGTAGAACATTTTAGTACGGGGGAGAAAGGTTAGGATGGTCCATAGAAAAGTTCACATATCAGTGTACAAGCCTGGTTGATGGAGCAAACAGCCCTCAACAGTTAGTTATTTCAGCTTCAGCTTCATTATAATTATTTCTGGCTACTTCTGAGAGTTATCCAAATAATTTTAATAGATAAATACTGTGGGCATCAAATACTTGTTTTGGCTTTATATATACCTCCAAGATATTATCAGTCTTCTCTTTACGCTTTACTAGCCCAGCCTGACGGCAAATCTGAGCAGCAATTTCATTGTGTGGCAGACCTGCAGCGGAGAACAGAGGGATCTTCTGACCACGAGCGATAGAATTCATGACATCAATTGTAGATATGCCAGTCTGAATCATTTCTTCAGGGTATGTCCGTTCGCTGGGATTGATATTACTGCCTGTATGAGATTAATAACAAAACAATTCTGAATCAAATTCTATGTAGCCTGAAATCTTCTGCATATTTGAACCCAGCTAACTCTTACCAGAAATATCCAGGTATGCCTCTGGTAAAATTGGTGAGCCATTGTCTATAGGTTTACCAGAACCATTGAAAATGCGTCCAAGCATATCCAGTGACACTGGAGTATTTAGAACCTTTAAAATGCAAAAAAAAAAGATATAAATGAGCCAAAATGCAAACAAATTTTCTTTCAAAAAATTTAAGCAATAGCACAAAGACCACTCAACCGTAGACGATTAAACAGAAAAATATTCATTGACACCAATTTATGAGTAGTGCAAAAGAGCATCTTTATTGCTACATGTGAGCGCAAGTCTCAGGGGAAATCGATATTACCTCACCAGTGAATTGCACAGTTGTATATTTGTTGTCAATACCGGAAGTTCCCTCAAAAACCTGTGAGTGATTTTCTCAAGTTTCATGAACAATGAAAGAAAGGTAGGTAGAAAAGGAAATATTGTACATTCACATATAATTGGAGTTTGAATTCATCTCAATGTCGGAGGTGAACTGAAGACGATGAAAAGACAAAGACAACTAACTGTCAAATGATGCTTAAATTGAGATAATGTGATAGGAATATTGCATAATTGTTTCCAGTATGACCAAGAAAGTTATGGCTACAGACAGCAAATGATCTTAGATTTGGAGGTTTTCTAACACATGAGATAAACCATATAAGGCATCTCTGTTTCCAATGAAAATATACCATAAATAAATTTGAATAAAAGATACCATCTCTGTTTAACAGGAGCCAAGCTGCAAGAAATCCATCAACGGTGGCTCAGATCCCGCGCCAGCCCGACCAGCCCCTCAAACGGAATGCATCAAGGGCCCCGCCTCCGCGCCGCCGCGGACATCCCGAGCCCCGTGGAGTGCGCCACCGGCCGCAGGCGCCGCGACGGCGGTGGTCCCGCTCATGGAGTCGTCCATGGCCGCCGCCGCGTGCATCTCCTCGTTGACCCCGACTATCGACCACTGGAACGCGAAGAGGAGGGAGGGGCTCGCGATGCAGCAGGGCGGGCCGGTGGAGGAGTAGCAGCAGGGCGGCGGCGGGGCTCCTAGGGCGCAGAAGGAGGAGGAGGAGGTGGGAGGGAGCGGCAGCGGGTGAGGAAGGAAGGAGCGAGGGGCGTGGGCCTGTAGTATGTTTTTTTTACTGGATGGGTGGGGAGAGAGGGAGGGGATAACCCCACAGTTTTTTTTTTACCTGGAAAAAAATAACCCCATCTCTTTGCCATCTGCCAGCAGTCTTTGCCGTCTGCTGGCAGATGGCAAAGAGGTGGGGCTGGTACGCTGTTACACTCTTGACGGCCACAGGATTTGCCAACCTCTTTGCCATCTGCTGGCAGATGGCAAATATTATTTGCCATCCACTAGCAGATGGCAAAGAATTGGCTGGTGAAAACCATGTTCTTTGCCGTCTGTCAGTTCTTTGTCATCTGTTTTTTATAAGCAGATGGCAAAGATGTTCTTTGCCATCAGCTAGCAGATGGCAAAGAGCTGGCCGATGGCAAATTCCCTGTTTCCAGTAGTGTTAGCAGTACAAAACAAATAAAAACAAAATTGATCCCAGTTCCAGGATGACCAAGAAGCATTAGCTGTTTAGATGAAAGATTAAGTGCAGTGTATGCTTTTACAGTCATTATATCCATTCTAGGTGTAGGAATTACTGGAATGTTGATTATTGTGACCAGAGAGAAATGTCTACATATGAACAATATTTACACTCCGGCTCTAAACAGAGTTATCCTTCACTAGGAGATCCTGTATATAGAAACATATGTGCATATTTAGGAGCAGTAACTTTGTAAACAGGAATTAATGATGATACTGATATATTATCAACACAAAAAAAATGGTACATATGAAGATATACTCTGTAGCTCCAAAGTGGGTTCTAATTTTATCCACAAAAATATATTAGGTGCACATATTTTACAAGCAATATAAGCAAAACAGAGATTACAGAGTTCTATGATATATGAACCCCCAATAAAATGCATCGCTACACTATTAGAGTATTTGCCTCCTCGCACTTTGTACTAGGAAAAAGGGAAGAAAGAAGACGAGGTTGCTGGTCATAAAAATGGAAGGGCATTCGCATTGAACCCAAAAGTTCAAAGAAGAATGAGAGCACTTCTTTCATACAAAACACCCTAGACAAGAACAAATGTCTCCCTTGGGAAAACCCCCAAGAAGAAGCTCTTCTCATTTACTCATTTTGGGCATCCATGAAAGGAATAGCGTCCGATGATATATTTCATAAATTAAACAAAGCTAGACTGCTTGTTTAGTAATTTCAAGATCCTGTTTATGGTTGTGCGTGGCTCGCTAGAATCTTAGATAGGAGACATCGTGTGGTACAAATGAGATGGGAAATGTAAATATAAATGGCCGGATACTGGAAAGGAGGATGATTTGTTGGCAGAGACAGATTGTTAGTGGTATCACAAATAAGAGCAAACCTGTTTGAAGAATGCACATATAAAGATCTCTTTCTTTTCAATTAACCCAGATCGAAAAACAAAGATTGCAAAAACCCCAAGAAAATTTGTTGGCAAAACCCCTAAAACGTTGGGATTGCGAATCTCTCCAGAACAGAAGAGAAAAACCCAGGAGGGGGCGATGGGGGAAGAATGCATTGCAGATTATAAACCAATGGAAAGATTCACAAACCCCAGGAAGCAAGCAATGGCTATGAGACATGGGAGGCGATGGGATTACCTGGGGAGGCGGGAGCGGTGGGTTGGGTCGTCTTCTCCGCTGGTCAGATCTCCTCCATTCGTCTTCACTTGTGTCTGTGCGCTGCTTGTGGTTTTTTAAAGAGGGGGAGGGGGAGGTGAGAGGTGAGAGAGGTGGGGGTAGTAATGGTGGAGGGGGGAGATAGAAGGCTTCTCCGAGAAGCCGAGAGGGCGACCTGCTGCTCCACTCTCTTGCGAGAGTACCAATACACTACCCATCTTCCATGCATGATGCATGTGCACTGTGGTGCATGCAACGGGTGCGTGTCTTTTTTCTTCTCATTTTATTTCCGAACATACCAACCTCTTT